TAATGGAATAGACCAGATCTTCAACAGAATCCTGGGAAAAATTCCCCAAAATTAAAGAAAGACATGCCCATACAAATACAAGAAGCATATAGAACACCAAACAGGACCAGAAAAGAAACTCTCCATGGCACATCATAGTAAGAAGACTAAACGTACAAAGCAAAGAGACAATACTGAAAGCTGCAAAAGAGAAACAACAAGTAACATATGGAGGAAACCCCATAAGGATTACAGCTAACTTTTCAGTGCAAATGATGAAAGCCAGAAGAGCCTGAACCAAAGCATTCCCAGTTTCAAATGACCACAGATACCAGCCCAGATTACTATACCCAGCCAAAATGTCTATTATAGTCAAAGGGGAAAGAAAAATCTTCTGTGACATAAATAGCCTGAAGGAATTCATATCCACAAAACCAGCCCTTCAGAGACTTTTGAAAACAATACAAAGCTGAAGAAAAGAATGACTATACCTAAGGGGTTGCAGAAAGAAATTCAGTGAAGGTACAGCTGTGGAAAAGTAGAGCTATATCAAGAATGTAAACAGAAATAAGAATGACAGGATTCAATATACATCTTTCATTAATAACTTTAAATATGGGAGACTCTGTCTCAAAAAGACCAAATTAAAGAAAAAAAGATAAAACCAGAATTCATCCTCTTATTGTCTGCAAGAAAGCCATCTTAGCTTTAAGGACAGACACTACCTTAAGGTGAAAGGATAGAAAAAAATATACCAAGCAAATGGTACTAAGAAAAAAGCAGGTGTTGCAATTCTAATATTTGACAAAATAGACTTTAAACTAAAACTAATAAAAAGATAAAGAGGACCACTTCATTCTGATCAAAGGAAGAATAAATCAAGATATCACAATCATGAACATATATTCACCAATCTCTGGTGCACCCAACTTCATAAAAATACTAGTCTGGGCATGGTGGCGCAGGCCTTTAATCCCAGCACTCAGGAGGCAGAGGCAGGTGGATCTCTGTGAGTTCAAGGCCAGCCTGGTCTACATAGTGAGTTCCAGGACAGCTGGGGCTACAGGGAGACCCTGTCTCAAAAAGACATAGAAAAAAAAAAATACTACAGGACTTTAAGACCCAGATTAATCCCAACTCACTAATAGTAGGGGACTTCAATACCCCACTATCTCCATTAGACAGGTCAACAGGGCAGAGAGTTAACAGAGAGACATCTGAATTAAACAATACCTTATGTCAAATGGACCTAACAGACATCTACTGAGTATTCCACCCAAGCACGAAACATCATACTTTCTACTCAGCACCACATGGAACCTTCTCCAAAATTAACCATATACTGGGGCACAAAACAAACCTCAACAAATACAAAAATATTGAAATAATTCCGTGCATTCTGTCAGACCACAATGCAATAAAGCTTACAATCAACACAGAAAGAAGCCCTAATCACCACATGAATACATGAAGATTAAACAACACACTCAAGTGATGAATGGGTCAAAAGAGAAATTAAGAAATAAAAGTATTCCTGGAACTAAAGGAAAATGCAACACAACAAAACCTCTGGGATACACTGAAAGCTGTCCTTAGAGGGAAGTTTATAGCCCTAAGTGCCTACATCAAAAAATCAGAAAGAACACAAA